AAAAGCTGATCCAAACTCTTAGGTCTCCGCCCGAGACCCTCCAACAAATTCATCTGACTTGAACCTCTCACATTGAGGTCTTCCTAACCAATCTTTCGTCCGCGGTTCTGTGATCCATGTCATTCAGGGTCTCGCACCTTGATCCACTTACTAGCTTAATCGTCGCGGCTACCTTGCAACACTGGAACAATCTCTGCTCTAAACCTGGCTACAAACTATCCCTGAGACTTGGTCTCTAATCCCGAATGTGAAAAAGGTCTCACAATCCTTGCTGCCTGATCCAAGGTGAACTCAAAAATCCTAGCAGTCTCTCCACTAACTGGCTCACCACTGGAGCTGAGACCAAACCTTGGTCCTACTCATGCACACTCATCCTCATTCTGCGAAGCAACTATTTCCCACGATCAAGGCATAAACAAGAGTCCTCCTTCCCATAAGCTTCTCAGATTCTCCAAGACTCAACCCGATTCGAGTATGGATCATATGCTTTCAGTAGTACGAGCCCAATACTACCTTCCACACCTATCCATACTTTCCTCGGCAATCCTCCTGAATCCTCAGAGTCACTTACTCCACCGATATAATAAATGTTTGCTAAACAACAAAACCATCTCTACTGTAGTACCTCCTAGGCTCCCCCTAGGTTCCCAACTTCACCGAACCACCCCACTTAACAACTAACTCACATTAATAAGATTCCTACAAAGCACAAATCAAGCAACATTTAGGTAATCGGTAAATCTAACCAGCATACACTAGACAAGTCAATCTATCCTCACATCCAATATGCAAGTAGGTAACACCTATCACTAATCTCATCATAGGCTCTCCCTAGGGTAGTCTCCAACTTGCGAAGCTATCATCAGACATTCAGTCAACGTACCACAACCCATGTTATCCGCATCCATCCCTCCATCCACGTTGTCGGCTGCCTCATGCATGAAAATTGTACACATAAAAGGATCTAATAGATTGTCGAATAATAGACTTTACCCTAAGACCTCATGAAATAAGGTCAAATCAGCTATTCTAAAGCTATAAGATCCTAACCGTATACAATTTTTAAAACATACACATTGCAATTATAATTACCAATTATCATTCTCAGTCAAGCATGACATCCAATATCCTCATGGCTACAAGTATCACATATCAGGCCAACCTGTTGCTGACTACTCAGCACTAGCATGCAAGTCTACCAGCTCATACAACATATACATGCATCTCCCCTAGTCCTATCTAGCATGCGATTCACAGATTCATAATCAAATCCTAACGGATAACAAATGTGGGTATTCTGGGGAAACTTACTTGAGCTCGGCTGATTGCATGCACCACACCCTTTATTGTCTTAAAAGTTCTTTACTTAAAACATTTTCTTTTGAAAGCTTTACAGATCCTCATTTTGAGTTCAGACACACCGGAAGGTATCCCCGAATCCCTCAAACCAAGGCTCTGATACCAACTTGTAATGACCCAAAAATCTAGGGTAAAATTTTCATTTTATTATAGCTAAAACATTGATACCATTTATTTCAAACATTTTAAATCATCTTTAAGTAAACCATTTATCAGATTTCATCCCAAAATCATTCATTGCGGAAATCGTAGGTGTGTGCATTGCGATCAATCCAATCTCTTCTTTCCCAAATCGATAATACTTGAAACCAAAACTGTCAATCGTAAGCACAAAGCTTAGCGAGTCCCCTAGAGTATACCCCACACACAATCCACATAACACATATCATATTAGCTATAAAAGCTATCCCTACCACATAAACCCTGCATAGAATCATATAAGGAACCCATGGAAACCCTCCAAGATCTTACACCTAGTGCCACGGGAACCCCTAAGTGGTCTTATCTTCCATGGGACCCCCCACATGGTCTTTCTGCCTTGGGAACCCCCATAAGGTCTTCCTGCCAAACAATACCTGATGCAAACTATACATATAAACATATAAGCTAAATGTACAAGCATATAAGGATGCCCTGGAAACCCTCCAAGGTCTTACATCGGGTGCCACGGGAACCCCCACGTGGTCTTAGCCCACTGCCATGGGAACCCATACATGGTTTTAGCTTGGGAAGCCATGGGAACCCCCACATGGTCTTATGTCCAACTGCCTCGGGAACCCCCCGGGGTCTTCCATGAAAGAATCACAAAGACAACTAGCATACCAAATACCACACAATCAACTAGTATATTGCATATATAATTGTATGCCATGGGAACCCACACATGGTCTTCACATAATACATAATGTATCAATAGCACATTCACAACAATCATCCCAACTAGATAAATGGGTCGAGCCTAGTGCCTTAGACCCATTGGTATGGTGACAAGACTCACCTCTCGAATGCTAAACTGATAAGCCGAAGTCAGATATATCCCACACGCTGCTCCTTCTTAACTGCCCATAATCATCAGGTGATTAACTTGTCATAATCCCATAAATACCCTCGAGTCAACCCCAGGCAAAGTCAAGATCCACTTTCAAGGTCAACAGTCCATGTTGACCTCAACTCGTCGAGTACAACTAGCCACTTATCGAGTTCCTTGCTTAACTCGTCAACTCGCCGAGTCACCAGTGGGACTCGTCGAGTTCCTTGATGTTCACGATTGTAAACCACCAACCGAACACCCTTGACCGTAAACCCTTGGCTGTGAACCCTTTACCGTAAACCCTTGGTTGTGAACCCTTGACCGTAAACCCTTAACCATGAACGAGAAAACTCTCTCGATTCGTAGAGTCATTTGAATGACTCGTCGAGTCCACTTAGTCCCTTATGTTTACGGCCCTTTCCAGCAGGACTCAAGGTCCCAAACTTCAGATCTATACTCTGCTAGCGATAATACCACATAAAGTTACCAACTTTATGTCCATACAAAGTCTCATAATGCCAAAACTACATCAACAAGCTTTTTACAAGTCTCTAATGCATGAATAAGAATTAGGGTGCACCAAGGAGACAACTTTATGACATTTGGGACCTAAGAAGGTCCAGATCTGGAACCATATCCTTATGATAGGTCCAGACCCAAACTTGGTTAGATGTTCTCAAGGATGGCTACAATCTTCCAAAGAAATCAAAGCTTAAGATAGCAGATTAATACCTCATTCAGGAGTCCAACACGTAATAGATGCCTGATCTAGAGCTTCCCCCTTGATACTTCCTCTTCAAGCTTGGAATCCTCCCCAAAACTCCAAAGATAAGCTCCCAAACGTTCTTACTTCACACATTAGCGGGGTTGCGGCCGTGAACGTTCTCCTATGGTGTTAAGGAAGGCTACAAAGGCGTATAATGATGTTTATATATGGGGTAAACCCAGAAACTAGGGTTTTCTCTAAACAACTCTGACTTGCCAAGTTGGGCCTTCCGACTCGCCGAGTCGGTTCCGAGCCGCGTCCAAAATGCCTCGACCCTACTCGACGAGTTGATCTCCCGACTCGCCGAGTTCATGCATAACATTTCCCCCAAATGATAATTTCTAACCGATACTCAAAACAGGTGTTAGAAAAAACACATTAATTAACTTCTACACGTTCCATATTGCAGTTGTAATTGTTTACAAAAAAAATCTATAAATTCTATAGAGTAAAAATCTTGCAACCGTTCAAACCAAAACCAACTTGTTTAACACAAAATGCTTGTAGAAACAGTGGTACCAAATTTCTTCCCAAAGATGATCCATCATCTCATCATTGTTGAGATGACTCATCAGGCTCTGCAGCAACAACCATAGCAGGTTTCGGTTTCCAGTGCACTTCACTAAGTTTCTATACTTCTTCATACTTTGACAAAACTTTATGGATTTCATCATTCACACTCAATTTAACAAACTTTCTGAATGCCAACAACAACAAAACATAATAACACTCATTATCTACTCATATAAACCATCTATAAAAAATTAACAGCAAAAAAATATATAAACAAAACATGAACAGAAAAAAATAAACACAACAACAAAAGCTTTTGTTGGAATGGAAATCTCAGCGGGAACAAATAAGAGAAACAACAAACTTGATAAAAAAAAACGCAAAAAAATCAATACCAATCGAAAATCTCAGTTGGAATGGAAAAACAAGAACAAATTGGAAGAAACACGCACCTAGTCATCGAAAGTAGGTTGTCTCCTGTTGCTTCATCGGAGGAAGAAGACGACTGGATGTGAAAAGCGATAGCAGCAGCCGATAGCAATGAGCATCCCAACAATTTCGATTTAGCTATTCTTCAGTGGAGGCATGACAAAAGAATAGGGCAATTATGGAATTGAATACTTTTGTTCCCGGTCCATCAATAGAAAAAGGGAGACCAGATCAAATAAAAACCTTGGACCGAGTCCTTAACATTCAAATCTTTATCAAACATGTTGATTGACATTTTTTGGACGATCCCATTTTGAACCAAGTTAGAACCTATATCAAACGACCCTTTAGTCTAAAAATAAGAAATAATCTATTGCTATAAATATGCACATATGCAAATTACAAAAATAAACATCATTTTTATTATAATGCGATTGACTTAGACGATGTAGTAGTGATGGTGTGGTGATGTTGATTTTGAAAAAAATTGATGAAAAATACTCAAGTTTTCATATAAATATTGGTTCTCAAAAAGAGTTTTTAATTTTGTTTACATTTAATCTTTATTTTTTTAGTAGCGATATTTTATCCTTGTAAGGTGTAGTTGTCATAAAGATAAAATATAAAAAATTTCAACAAGTTTATAATATATAATATATAAATAAACTAAATATAAATAAAATCAATAATTCATTATCCTTATTTTCCAAATAAATAAAAATAAAAATAAAAAATCCTCGCTTAAGGAAGTAACCCTATAGTTTTTAACTTTAGCAATGTTTGATGGTATATTAAACCCTTTAGTTTTTAACTTTAGTTTCGGAATTTCTGACACCAAAGTAATAAAAATATATTCTTATTAGGAAAAAAAAAAGTTTCGCATTTTATGAAATGAAATGATGAATAAATATGAAGGCATCTCTTTTGTCACATCGCAATTTGCTCCAAAACGGTACAAAGAAAACAGTATCCGAAGCAAACAAATGACAGAAACACTTCATTTTTGCTCTCCTTCATTATATCAAATCCCTACAATCTTCTCGAACACTCTCCCTTTGATTTCTAGTTTTTTCCTGAAATCTTAACTCGGTGTTCGTCGTCTCAGATTGCGTTAATTACACTTAAACAATGGATTTTCGACTTCAAAAACCATTTCATGTTCTACAATCACTAATGCTACTGGTATTTGCTTCGCAGTTGCAGAAACCGTCGTATGCAAACACCGCGCCGTTAAATTGCACCGAAACATCCCGTCTGTGTACATCTTTCTTAGCATTTAGTCTATCGCCGAACCAAACCCTAGCAGTTATCATGAGCATGTTCGATGTGTTGCCGCAAGATGTTACACTTGAAGGTAACGGCAGGGATTACATATTTGTTAGGAAGAATTGTTCGTGTTCTAATTCTCCTGTTCCGAAGTACTTGACGAATACGACATATACTGTGAGGAAAGACGGGCGATCTCTGTACAGGATGGTGGTTGATGCTTACGGCGGATTGGGCTATCTGCCGTATTTCACAAGGCCGGCGCGTGCAGGAGCAGTGGTGTCATTGCAGTTGTTTTGTGGCTGTTCGAATGGGCTGTGGAATTATCTGATGAGTTACGTGATGAAGGAAGGGGATAGCATCGAGTTTTTGGCAAGTAGATTTGGTGTTAGTATGGATAGTATTGAAACCGTTAATGGGATCGAAAATTCAGATAACGTCACCGTCGGTGCACTTTATTACATACCTTTAAATTCAGGTAGGTCATATAATCTTAATTTAATGATAAAGTTCCTTTTACTGCTACTCTTTGCGCTCTTAATTAGTTGAAATGTTTCATCCTTAATTGTGATCCGATTAGTTCCTGTTTTGTAGCATATGCGCGATGAATTTCACATCGCATTATTGTAGATCTGCTGCAACTATAATCGAGTTTTAACATGAAATTGACGAATTATTTCAGTTTGAACTAATCGGACTTCGTAACTAATTTACTGTCAAACTTATTGCAGTTCCCGGTGAGCCATATCCTATTGAGAACGACACTCCTGCTCCTGCTCCACCATCCCTTTTTGTTGCAGGTAATGTAGGTTTATACTTTTTATCGAATATATTTTTTGCAGATCACACTAGAAACAAAAGAAAAATGCATTATGATGTTAATCCTTGTATTAAATTGCCTTTGGCTGTCTTAGAACCTGAATTAGGGCTCTTTCAGAGACGAAGAGACTAATATTTTTGTTTTATCCAGGAAATCATAAGGCTCGTGTACCATATGGATGGATAGTAGCTAGTTTGGGGGTTGGTTTGGCACTAATCATAGCAGTCACAGGTTTTCTTGTCTACTCAAGATCATCAATTTGCTTTGATGATGCTCAAGGGAATCATGGAAAGGATTCAAAAATTGAAAAGATTTCTCATAAGTTCCGTATCTTACAGACAACAAGCTTTTGTTGTGGTTCAAGAAAGGATGATTGGAGAGAAAATGTGGGGGAATCTAGTGAACGTCGTATGAACATTCCAAAAGGTCAAAGTTTCTGGCTTCTCTAGACCATCTTTAATGTTCTTTTCATGAAAACCATTAAACTGATTTTTGTGTGTTTTTCTTATTCCTGCAGTTATTGGGACTGATGTGTTTGATGTAGAGAAGCCTGTTGTTTTCCTATATGAAGAAATTTTTTCGGCTACAGACGGTTTTTCAGAATCCAATCTTCTTGGTCTTGGGACATATGGTGCTGTGTACCATGGTCTGCTTCGTGACCAGGTTGATATTTCATATTTGTCTTCTTTTGTTCACTTTCTATATATTTTTGAGCTATGGTTAATCTACTTTGTACATTATTGTTGCATAATTGTAGGAAGTTGCTATCAAAAGAATGACCGAAACAAAAACTAAGGAGTTCATGGCAGAGATGAAAGTATTGTGCAAGGTTCATCATACAAATTTGGTAAGTATTGTGCTCTACTTCTTCGATTTATAACCATTATCTATGTTACATTTTTGACAACTTTTGACTTGTGTCTGGTTTTGTTATTGTTAAGGTAGAACTGATCGGTTATGCCGCTAGCGATGATGAGCTCTTCCTCATTTATGAATATGCTCAGAAAGGTTCCTTGAAAAATCACTTGCATGAGCCTCAAAACAAGGGTAATACTTTACGCCCTGTATTCTAAATAGGGAAAATTGCATGGGATAATACCAACTATAGCAGTGTACTTATATTTCTTTACCAATAATAGCAATATATATAACATGAAACTTGTTATAAATGGTTACACGTTTCATGTTACATATTGCTGTTATTGGTAAAGATATGTTACGTATATAAAATACATTTTACAAGTTTTTGTTTACGTATTGCTATTATTGGTAAGAAAATAAAGTAGGTTGTTATTATGGGTAAATAAATATGCGTACATTGCTATTTCCTGTAGGTAATCCGACGCTTTCTTGGATTATGAGGGTTCAAATTGCACTTGACACCGCAAGGGGGCTGGAATACATACACGAACATACTACACCTCATTATGTGCATCGTGATGTCAAAACAAGCAATATTTTACTCGATAGTGCTTTCAAAGCCAAGGTACTTTCTCTAAATTGCATCTTTTTTTTTTTTGTTTATACATCTTATTGATTTTGGCTTAAACAGATCTCAGACTTTGGGTTGGCAAAACTTGTTGGAAGAAGTAACGAGGATGAAGCTTCAGTGACAAGAGTGGTTGGAACTTACGGTTATTTAGCTCTTGAGTAAGTATAACGGTATCTGTATATACACACGTTTCTTAAAAACCAAAATTCAAATTTAATAATAATAATAAAATTATTACAGGTACCTGAGGGATGGTTTAGCGACAGTTAAGAGCGATGTATATGCATTTGGTGTTGTTCTTTTTGAGATAATATCAGGAAAGGATGCCATAATACAAACCGAAGCTGCTGTGTCAAAAAATTCAGAGAGGCGATCGTTGGCATCTGTTGTAAGTCTATTCGAAATAAAAAGTACATTACTTTGACAAACGTAATTAATTTTGTGAAAAAAATGCAGATGTTGGCAGCTCTCAAGAATGCACCCGAGTCTATCACTACATCGAGCTTTAAAGATCATATTGATCCCAATTTGATGGATTTATATCCCTACGACTGTGTTTTCAAGGTATCGCATAAGGGGAAATACAGAAAAGAATAGCTAATTCCTATTTATTAACCATTATATTTTATTTTGACTGCATTAAAACATTTGTCAGATGGCTATGCTGGGAAAGCAATGCGTGGAGGATGATCCGGTCTTACGACCTGACATGAAGCAAATTGTTATTTCCCTTTCACATATTCTTTTATCATCTGTGGAATGGGAAGCTACACTTGCTGGAAATAGCCAGGTATTCAGTGGCCTTGTTCAAGGTAGATAGCCGTACAGACAGACTCTTTTTCTTTTCCTTCTTTTCTATATAAAATTAATCTTACTTTCCCACATCCATATATATTATGCTTCTAGAACCTACCGTATAAATGTGTGTATATAGGTGTATAGATGATTTACTCTAGTCTTCTTTTTGGTATTCTTCCGTTTTCATTTTGTGGGTTGTTTCATAAGACATAAGACATAATGCAAGAACATAACAAGTTGTATTGCATTTAGAACAAAGATCGATCTCAAATGAGACAAAAATTACAGTTTATTCCCCAACAAGGTGTGAAAAAGACGTTAATGCTCTCTCCTTGTGCTCGGGCACTAGAAAGTTTGATGAACTTATTTGAATCACAATTTATTTGTGTACAAAGTTGGTGCAAAGGCTTACATATATTATTCGTGACATCCTTCACTTGCAAAATGAGGCAAGTATGCGACGGGGTGGAGCGAGCAATGGTCTTCGTGAATGAAGAGCTGCCAAATTATCGAGTAATAAAACATCTCCCTTACACCATTGTAATGCAACACACTCATCATCAAACATCTTTAATAAGTCATTAACCTCATTGCGAGGCAATGGTTCGCCATCACCAAAAACAACTGCTTTTGTTGGATCATCGTTTAGCTTATCATGCAATCCGCCATATGAAATCGCAAGACTGTTGAACCAGGTCTTTTGTTGTTGGGCTTCGTTGTATCTAAAACTAGGTTTCGGACCTACTATAACTTTGACATCATCACCCATCCATTCTAGTTTCATTCCCAACTTGGTAGCCCTGCATTTGAATCCAAAAATTAGGCGATTCAAATGTAAATCAATTTCATTGTTTGTAAATTACTAGATGTTTCAATATACAATGTCTTAATAAGAAAGAAATATATTGAAATTTGAAAATATAATGTTGGAAAAGAAATAAATCCAAGTATAACCAGATAATGAAAGTACGTTGTTTCATGACTTTACTAATTCGTTAATATCTTATTATATCTAACGAGTCAAAGGAATAAGTCTTTTAAGAACTTTTATAAAATAAAGTCGGTTGGTTGACAATTCGTCCAAAGTGAGTTCCGAATAGATACAAGATTGCTAAAACAATTATGCTAGCCACCCAACATGTCATTTTGTATGGTTTGCTTCTCACGTTATATTCTTGGATGGGACTATATGATAACACAACACAAAACTGCAACTTTATTGTCTTGATACCTTAAAATTAAGGGTGTGTATATGATAGTTTGGTTAGGTTCCTTGTCAAAACCGAACCATAACTATTACAATTGCTTAATGTATTTTGGTAGCCATTGAATATGAGTTGGTATTAGTTTTGGTTAATGTTACTAGTCGATTAATAATTTTGATTAATGGTTAATGTTGGTTGACCATAATGACCGAATGACAAAAAAAAAAAAGTATGTTGCTATCAAAAGGGGGGAAAAACTTAAATTTTGTTGCTATTTAATGAATATTATAATGGTAATTTAACCTTTTTAGCACCTTGAACCAGCACCATCTAAATTATTTTTACAACATAAGAAACTATCTCAATGAGTTGAAACTTTTGAAAATTTTGATTTACTCGCCCATGGTAATCTTAATAACATGTTACAAGGAGGATTTGTGAAAATACATTCCATAGGACCTGGAATTCACCTCATCTGAAAAATTAAAGTTCGTTTATAATTGTCATCATATTAAGAGTTTAAGGTCATCAGGCTCCTCACAAACTATATAAGTACATTGTTATACATTCATACACTGAAAATTTAGAATAACAAAATGAAAGTGTATGAACATAACTTATGGAGTTACTTGCTTGAAGTTGAATGCTTGAATTTTGATGCTAATATCGTGGTTGTGCCTAAAGCCCTTAATATAGTGCCTTGAAATCTAGAATAATTGTGCATATAAGTATATAACTATATTAATATAATAGAAGATTACATAGTCTTTAGCCTAGCGATAACGAGTGATCATCTCAAAAAGAGGTCATGGGTTCAAGTCTCTTAGAAGTAATTTTAGATAGTTTGTTGTTTCAAAAAAAAATCTAATTTAAAATTGTTATCATTTAAATTTTATATTCCTGACATAATTACATACAATATATTTAACATATTATATTTACATTTAAATTTTCTAGTTTATTCGGTTAATAAAAATTGGAAATCACGTCACCTCTTAAACTATAGGGAGTGGGAGAGGCTAAGCTCAAGCCAACACCCCACCCCCTTGGCTCTCGCCAATCAAGCTTGGCCATCTAGCCAGGGAGAAAAGATGAGAGATAGAAAGGGAAAAAGTGAGTTGTGATTGGTGTTCTTGATTTTCTTTTTTCTTTTTTTTACAAAATCAAACATATTTAAATGACATCACTATTATTTCTCAACTTTTACAAGGTGGGCTTTTTTAGGCAAATGCTTAAGTGGCTTTAAACACTTTGACAACATTCATCACCACTCTCTTTGTTCTTATTGTAATGGTTCGGTTATATCAGTTAATTCGATTTTAATTTGACATTTCAGTTAATATAATCATCCTAGTTAAAACTTTAAACAACCAAATTTTTAAGATGAATCAAAATGGCTTAACTTTCTTTATATATCTTTTTCTAATATCATTAATAACTAATTATTAAATTTGATAAAAAAAAATATTGCATAAAAAATAAAATTCTTATATAAATAATTTAAGAAACTATAAAAACACCAAACTATAGAATAAATTATATTTTTGGTCCCTAGCTTTAAGTGATGTTTTCAATTTCGGTGTTCCAAGGAGTTGGTTTTCAATGTGGGTTATATATTTTGATGTTTCATATATCATGTTGCTCTTGGATCCCACATGAACCAAACCATTTTTTTTTTGGAATAAAGTTATAAAAATCATCTATATCAGGCACCAAAAATGTAATATAGTCTATATAATAATCTTGAAAATCTTAGTTTAGTTTTTCTTTTTATTAATAATTATCTAAGTTTGAAAAACGGAATATAGACGTAAATGATGGAGAAGTGTGGAAAACCTTTCCTCCGCCACGCTCTTGTCATCGGTCATGAACGTGCCCTTCCAGCCGCGTCCTACCGGCGATGAAGGGTCCAATCCTTCTCGCATAACTCTGTTGTAAATCAATCCTTTCTCTTCCAGTTGCTCCACAAATTCTGGATGCTTCCCTTTCATCTTCTCGTAAATCACATGACTCAGAACTATACATGTTTCTCCTCCCCTTCCCGGTTCGATCTCACAGAAGAAAAACAATTTCGAAGGAAATTCGCTAGCCTGCAAAACACAAGATGATCGATATGAGTTTTATTCTATAGTAATTACACAGATTTATCTACAAGTTTTGATCGGAGGTAGGGAGTATATGTATATCATACATGAGATAATTCGTGATGGAAGCCGATCATCTGGTCCGGTGGTGCTTCATTCGCAGTGTACACACGATCGGTAAGCTTCGTCCTGGTTCCTGAACCACCGGCGCCGTAGGAAAAGTCTTCGTAGCCGGAGGAGTCAACGACATCGTTGAAGTCGGAGGCAGTGGAAACAGGGAAGCCTCTGAAGAGAATCGCACCAGATCTATGGAGCAGAGATTCGAGCCATGGTTTATTAGCTTTAATGGCATCTGTTAGCTGAACAGACTTGGAAGCGTTAGGGTTGGGGAAGAGAACCGCGGGGAAGACGACTCCACCATCAGATTTCTGCTGCTGCAACCCAACCACTTCACTGAATAGGTTTACTTCTGCCATGATCAATCCAAAATTCAAACAATAAGTGGCGATTATAAGCCAAAATCATATGGGCTTAGATCTCCAACAGGTATTCAATTTGGTGATTTGTGTTGTTTGTTTCTTTCTTATAAATTAATTGAAGAGTTGAAGATAAAGTACACTGAGTGTTGGAAATTAAAATACATAAAAATGTGCTATAGGTGTTGCTAATAAATATCATAACTTAAGCACCCAGTGTTTAGAAATTAAAATACATAGTCTATAGGTGTTGTTAGAATAATAAATATCATAACTCAAGCACGACTCTTAGAAATTAAAATACATATGATGTGTTCGGCAATATTAGCTGATAGTTTGTAGTGTGTAGCAGGTAGTGGATATCTTATAGCGTTTTGTTAAACGTTGCATGGAGTAACATTTGGATTTGGAGTGTTTGTTTAAACTAAACGTTAGAAGTTTATAGTGTCAAACAAGATTTTCTGTTTAAAACGGAACGTTTTGTCAAACACTAGAAGCTAGAAGCTCACAAACACTCCATACCGAACACGTCCATAATAGTCCATAATAAGTAAATGAACACGTGCTATAGGTGTTGCTAGAATAATAAATATCATAACTCAAGCACCTTATTGTTAGAAATTAAAATGCATAGTAAATGAACATGTGCTATAGGTGTTGGTAGAATAACAAATATCATAACTCAAGCATTGAAAAATCACTTGGTCAAACAACAAAAAAGGAAATGACTGATCAGAGTAATCATCTTTGTTGTTTTGTTCACATTATCGTTTAACTTGTTATATTTGTTCATATATTATCATTTTCATTAGTTATAGCAGGTGATAATTATATTTGTTCACATATTATCATTTTCATTAGTTATAGCAGGTGACAATGATGAACACATTTAACAAGTTAAATGGTCAAATGTGTAAAAAAAAAAAGAAAGTTGTCTAAATGTAAACAAAACATAAAATTAATTACCCTAATAAGTTATTTTTCTCACTTTTAATAGCGATTTTATATTTCGTATTTGTTTGTATTTTTTTTCGAACGTTACTTTTAAAGTATCCATAATGTCCTAAATATTAATTAAATATTGATTAATTCTAAAGTATACCTTTTAATTAATAAATATGTTTTTTGGTTTGTGAAATATTTTATATAGCCTCTTATATTTGTTTCTTTTGTTTTAAGCATATACAATATTTTTAAAGTAAATAGTATCTAACAATAAAATTAAATAAATTTAAGATATAACAATAAGTATGGAGGGTCTTTTAAATAAAATTACGTAGCAAATAGAAAACATTAAAAAAATCTATATAATGTAAATGTTTTAAAATTATTACAACTTTTTAATACTTTTTAATTAGAAGTTTATAAACTTTTAATTTTTTAATAAACATTTTAAACATATTATAAAAGAAAGTATTGAATTGTCATACAAAATCTGTGGAACACTTTAAAAATGTTGTAGAAGAAAGTTTAGAAATAATTAATTGTATGAAAGTTATAAAAACAATTGTATGAAAATATTTTTTTAAAAATTAAAAACTTGTAAGAAAATTTCAAAACATTTATAAAATATTTGGTTTAAAAGCACTTGTATTAAAATTATATGAAATTATAAAAAATGTAAATAAATAAAAAAAAATAAAAAAAAAATAAAAAAAAACTTATAAGCAAAGATTAGAACATTGTATTAAAAAAGTTGGTGTAACTCACACTAATCATAAATTTTGCATAACATTTATCCACATGCATAAGGAAACAAAGTCCAACTACACTTGGACACTAAAGTGTTTAAAATCAACAATATATAGAGCATGTTTCCACGTGTAATTGTCACAGATAGAGACATGACTTGCATGAAAGCATGCAATAATGTATTTCCAAAAACTAAATGATTACTTTATAAATGACGTATCAATCCAAAAATTAAGAGAAAATACAAAACGTTTTTAGTGTATCGTCCTTGTTGGACCTCCTTTTATAAAGGCCGGAAAAAATTAGTTGAATCTGAAACTGAGGAAACATACAATTCCAATCACTTACAAGTCGATAAACAATCTATTGGACTATAAAGATATTTATTTAACATATATATATATATATATATATATATATATATATATATATATATATATATATATATATATATATATATATCAAAATTGATGTAAGTGTATTATGTTTCGGAAGTTATTACTTGAAGAAAACATGGTTGACATAATGTTAAGAAAAGTTTGTATATGTTTGGACCGATGAATTTCTCCATTTTGGGAATTACACAACCAACAGAGTAGAGAGTCAACATGCCAAGGTAAAACAGCATTTGGACTTATCACAATCGGATATGACAACAGTATTACCAAGAATTCATGATGTTGTTCAGTCACAAGACTATGATATCAAAGCAAGTTTAGGACGGTGCAAGATTATTGCACAATATCATTTCGTCCATCCAATTTCCAAATATTTGGTTGGTAATGTTTCAATTCATGTATTTGAAATAATTTTCAATGAATTTGAACAAATCACTCGTTCAGTTTCACTGGATTAGGTTCTACACAAAATGAATATTGGTTTATTATGTTGGATACTGAATTCCTCATTGTTAATAAATATAGTGTAAGCGTCTATTTTTTAGACAAACAAGGTTTGTCGACCTGTTTTTCCACTTTGGCATGGTCTGCAAGACATCTCACATCATAGATATATTGTTATCACATTCGTTCATAATGACTATTACATAAATGTTGATGTATAAGAATCACATCCAATGTCTACAGTTTTACCACTTTGGCATCACAACAAATCAGAGCGTTTTGCACATTCTATTGGATGAGAAATATTGTATAATGTTCGACTTAATACATATATTCCACTGAATGCATCATGAAATAATTGTAATATTTATGTAGTTGGTGTCCCTCATAATTAATAAAATTAAAATATGATAGTGTTTGAGCAAACAGTGATAAATGAAAATTGTAATTTTATTAATTATAATTGTGAAAAAATATCATATTATGCTTTTTTATTGTTCATTTAATTGTTTATGATCATTATTTATCGTTTAAGGTTAAATGAACAAATCTCGATTCATGTTCGTGAGGTTCATCTTGCAACCCGATTGATATCGTTAATACTAAAATTTAAAGAAAAAATTAAAATTGAAATATTATATGAAAAATCCTATAATAAAATGAAGATATTATACAAAATAAAATTGATTATGTAATTATACGGAAATAGATTCTATAGGTATATAAAATAAAATTGTGATATTATATGTTAATTTCTACAATAAAATATTTAATAGTTGAATGTATAAATTATAATTATAAATTTAGTATATTTAGAGGGCCATAAATAAAGGTTTTAATAAATTGGTATAACAACACCACTAATTTAGTTAGACGTTACTTTATTATCAAATATAATAATCAATCATCTAAAATCTCATTAAATTGGGTTACTTAAAGTCAAAATAGTTTTTTACTTTAAAATGATTTTTGATTTTTAAATCTGGTGTATTTAAAATTCCCATCCGATTGTCACTAAATATAATTATATTAAAATTATATATATTTAAGCATTTAGTGGCAACCAAATATAATTATATTAAAATTCGTGGCTTTTAACTCTCTATTTAAATAAAGTATGGATAATGACTTGAAAGGGTAACGAACTTTCGATTTTTGTCACATTTAGTCACTAAACTTTTTTTCGTTATCTATTTGCCATTGAACTATTGAAACTGTTTACATTTTACCCTTATGACCGGCTGTTGCCTGTCATAAGGGTAAAATGTGAACGGTTCCAATAGTTCAATGGCAAATAGATAACAAAAAAAAGTTTAGTGACTAAATATAAACAAAATCGAAAGTTCGTTTCCCTCTAAAAAGTTCAATGACTAAATGTGAACAAACTTCCTCTTGTATTATGTTTTAGCAAATTATTTATTTTTGTTAAATTGTAGCAACATTTGTTGATGAAGAAATCTATGGGAAAAAAAAACCCTGAAAATATATTTTAAAAAAAACAAAAAACCAAAACCGAAATAAAAAACCAATGGTTTGACATTCTCCAAAATAAAAAAATCAAAATTTCCAATCTAATTTTGGTTTTACAAAAAAATGAACCATTCTCACTGATGTGAATTATGACCATTGGTTTAGCATGCGAAATTTGTGACATCCCATGAATATGTAGTTACAACATCGTCTGAACTCGTAATTCATAGTAAGGGGTTAGAGTATCATCGCATGAATACGTAGTTACAACATCGCATGAAATCGTAATTCATCACCTACAGGTTATGGGCTTGCTACTGGGTTGTCTAGAATAGTTCGTGGTCACCATCTATACTCTGGTAGATGACTACATCGCCACATTGATGGTTAAGGTTATGGTATCTTCTTTAATCCTACATCACATATTCATCATCATCTATTTACCTAATTATCATCACCTTTCTATTATCACCTATCTCTCATCATTTATTTACCTATTTACCTAATTATGCTTCCTAACTTCGAACCCCAAGGTTTACTCTACTAAAGCTTCATATTCTCGGCTCTCTGGACCTAGAAGGGTCCGGATCTATCACACCAAAAAGCTCAAGATAGCTCTTCCTCTCACTCTACACACTCAAGCTCGCTAGGGTTCTCACTTATGGGAAAGGTAGTCGCAATTGAAGGCCATAAATGCCTTTAAATATTGCTCGGGCCCAAAGATTTAGGGTTTTTGCCAACATCGCGGACTCGTCGAGTCGCCTCACCGACTCGTCGAGTCCATTCATTAATCTGAGTGATCAGTCGCGACCTTACTCGACAAGTTGAGGCGTCAACTCGTCGAGTCTCTCTTCTTAACTCAAAAGAAAAATACTTAAATTATGATACTTGGAAATCCGGATGTTACATTTTGTTTTTTTATTTCATAGATTTATTCATCAACAAATGTTGCTACAATTAAACAAAAATAAATAATTTTGCTAAAACATAATACAATAAGAAGTTTGTTCACATTTAGTTATTGAACTTTTTAGAGGGAAACGAACTTTTGATTTTGTTCACATTTAGTCACTAAACTTTTTTTCGTTATCTATTTGCCACTAAACTATTGAAATTTTTCACATTTTACCCTTATGACCGGTAACAGCCGGTCATAAGGGTAAAATGTGAACAGTTTCAATAGTTCAATGGCAAATAGATAACAAAAAAAAGTTTAGTGACTAAATGTGACAAAAATCGAAAGTTCGTTACCCTTTCAAGTCATTATCCCAATAAAGTATTATACTGATATGTTTTCTTTATATCATAAAATCTTATATAAATTGTATTGTTGGTTGTATTATGTATTAGGTTGTTGATAAGTGGTAAAAATAAGAAATTGGTTAAGATTGTGAATGTGGAGGGAACGTTGTTTTTAAACATAGTCTTAAAGTATTTGTTATGAACAACTAATTATAACATCATTTTGGTGTTACCTCATATGCTACATTATCAGTGTTTGGGGAAATGGTCATCTAGTTTACCAGCATGTTATAACACTATTTTTTTTTTCATTTTATAATTTCTTTTTTTATTTTTTTTCCAAATTTCTTTTTTTATTAAAACAAATATATTTTAAATAAAACATAGTATCTAAATAAAATATAATGTTTAAAAAATAAAAATAACATAGCCTTTAAATTACACATAACATCCAAAATAATAAAAAGAAACATTACAATACAAAAAGAAAAAAAAAACAAAAAAAAATTGATTTTTCCTAAACAACGTTATTCGTTATCGTTACCGTTGAAGATATAATCCGTCAAATTCTTTCGAAGTTGTTTGTGTTTATTTGCATCATGAATGTCAACGACTCTATGCAAATCTTGTTTAAAATTGAACTTGTCTGGGCTCCGTTGGGATATAATGTGCAATATTTCGTCATTTATCTTCTACTACCATGTTATGCATTATGATACATGCATACATGATGTATCGTAGAGTTTCTAAGTCCAATGGTTGTGTTGCATGTTCAACTATGTGCCACTTCGCCTTTAGCACTCCAAAAGCACGTTCCACATTCTTCGTCTTGTCATCTCTTAAATAATTTCTCTTTCTTCAACCGGGTGTCGGAATGCCTTTGCGAATGTGGAATACGGAGCATCCGGGGCTTTTTCCATCTCTTAAATAATACCCAAATTTGTATTTGGTTCCATTCACTGTGAAAGGAGCATCCGGGGCTTTTTCCATTCAAAAGATCGTCGAATATTGGTGACGGATCAAGAACGTTGACGTCGTTTGAACACGGAACCCCGAAAAATGCATGTTAAATCCATAAATCTTGGGAAGCAATAGCCTCTAAAACCAACGAAGGCGATCCATGATGATCGCTTGCATACTGCCATTTCCATGCTATTGGATAATTTTTCCATTTTCAGTGTATACAATCAATGCTTCCAATCATTCCAGGAAACCCATGTCTTTCTTCATGTGCTCCATAAAGCTCTTGCGTATCACGCTACGAAGGTTTCCGCAAATATACGTCTATGAATGTTTCAACAGCACCTTTTGACAATTTATACAAACTTTCTCGTGCAGTTCTTTCGGACATTCTCATATAGTCGTCCATGGTGTCGGGTGACACCCCCATAGCCATTATATGGCCGCAGCACATTTCTGCAACATTGTAAATCTTCGCCTACCTCTAGCATCATGTCTTAGTTGAAAAAATATATACCTAAACATATATTAACTATGATTTAAAAATATACTACATTTGTATTAAAACTAAAGAAAAATGTAGTACATTTGTATTTAAGATTTAAAGAAATGATACCGGCTTTTCAAGGCGTTGACGATCCGTAGAAACACATTCCTACTCAAACGAAATCTTCTTTTGAAGTCCTTCGACCCGTATACACAATTATCGACAAAGTAATCGTGATATAGACGTTCGTGTCCTTCCTCATGATTTATATTTAACAGCGCACGTCTTATTAGTAACGGGGCTAGATCTAGTTGTAGCATCTCGTTGGTGTAATAATGGTACCTCATATTGAAGAATATATCATCACTGACATCATCAGACAAGTCGAAATGATTCATAATGTTTTTGAAGATAATTGAAATTGTAGAGAGAGAAATTGTGTGAAAAAAATTGTAAATAGATAGTAGGTATTTATAGATAAAAAATAATTATTTTTTTAAAGTTTTTTTTTTATTAAATTTGACCGTTTGCCAACCGTTTAATTGATCAAAAATGTGGTAATTAGCTCTTTTCATCAGGTCAAGATGGCAATGAGATGCATTCGCAACGAGATACAACAAGAAGGAGGGTGGTGTTCATGTCATTATAACACCATTGAGGCCCCTCCACGTCAGACATAACGGGGTTTTTGGTGCCCATACCGCATCATCTTAGGTAAATGTTTTGAAGTACTAAACAACTTGCAACGATGCTGTAATTTTAAGAATTTCCAACATTTCACAATCCTTCAATTCTAGCCGACCCGTTATCTAGAAAAGCCCCACTTATAAGGTACTCGGCAAATGTTTTTTTATGTATCTTTTTAGCGAAAAATATTGCAAGCATATTTATTTATAATTTGGACACAAAGCATGTCTTTTTGGTGTAAAATATAGCATATAAAATATTAGAACACTCTTTAATTATGTCAAAATTTGAACATAAAGTCTAACAATCAACTTACAATAATTTATAATTTGAGAAATCAAATATCCTCCTATTTTTTCCTCCTACTATCTTCCTACAACACTTAACACTTACGATTATGATATTTGTCACATTTAATAAAATTAATAATTTTTTATTACACTTGTCATCATCTAAAAGTGATAGGAGGATGAGTAGGAAGAAAAAATATAAGAATATTTAATTTCTCTTATAATTTATATAAACATAAATGATATTTCTCTAAACTTTGCAATACCACTTTCCATTCCAATTGGTAAAATCCTACTTGCACTCGACAAAAATTATCAAGTGAGCAACAAGATATGTACGATCGCACCTTCACAATAAGGTTTGATAGTCAAAATTAAATTTTTTTATAGTTAGAAGCAAATCTAAAATGAAATACTAACAATGATCATTTTATTAACTTTAAACCAAACAATTCAAAAGCAATATATAAATTTTGCTAAAACTGCATTACATGGTATGGTTTATACTGATACCATGCTTAATAATGTAATGTACACATTATAATAACATCATTGCATGTTGTAATATAAATATAATAATGTAAAAAAAAAAGGATGACATACATATAAATATAAGGTAAGAAAAAAGAATTACCTGGTACACCTCCTGCAGATTGTTTACATTCTATTTTTTCCAGTTCCTTTTAACAGTTTTTAAAATCTTTTTCCATAATTACCCTAGATGGATGATCAATCCGACAAATCATATTCTCCCCCACTGGATCGATCCATATCACCATCATCTTCCATGTCATGTCTAGCATTCAAACTTCTCCCTTTCGAACCCATATAACCCTGCAACAAATATTCACCGAATATAAATAAACACAAAGATATAGTAATAATAATAATGAATGAATGAAAAAAACAAAACCTCGGATTCCTTCATGTCAACTGAAACGGTTGACCTTTGTCTGACTGTGATAGTTGCAGGAACAGGGAAATGTTCAACCTCATCGCTTGTTTTTCCTTCCCTGGCTCTCTTTTTCCTTAAGATAAGCTTTGTTGGCAGAGGCTGATGAATTTTACAGAACAAAACATATTAATATTTCAGAAGGTAAAATCCATTTATTTATTTATTTATTTATTTATGATTAATAATACCATGTAACGAGCCTCTGATTCACCAAATGCCACAAGGAAATTGGTAGGGTCATCCACATCCTCACCCCGCACCTTTAAAAAAAAAAATCATATATTATTTTCTCAACCCAAAAACGGAAATCAAGGAGTTTATAGAAGAAGTAATGAACACATACATCCCAACGATATTCACGAACCCACGTGTACGATATATCTTCATTTTCATCGTACATGTCCTTTGACAGCTGTACACGTTACGTTACATATTAGTTTACATAACAATAAATAAATAAATAATTAACTAACTTCAATTTACTTTACTTTACCTCACCAACCGAAGGAACCATGTAACCCAAAAATTTGTCAGGTTTAGCAGGGTCTGAGGTACTTGCTACAAAGCTTTTCATAATGGCCTGAGTTGGAAAATCAACTCAAATATTAGTCATACTCAAAAGTCAAAGTCAAAATCAAAACAACAAAGTTTTTTTTAAGTACCTGAGATTCATGGGCATCTCGAACAGATTTCTCCATTTTATTATAGCTTTCTGAATCCACAGTAGGAGGACCATCAAATGTTGCAACAACAAATTGATCATCCCACCTGCAAATAAAAATCAAAATCAAATTTATATAAGTTTATAAGGGTAATAGGGTGGTAATTTTGAAGAAATAAAGTTACTGATTGTACCGTTCGAAATCAGGAAATAATGGCAAAATCTCAACCGGGTGTAGTTTTTTGTTGGTTGCATGAACAGGATGCGACTTACAAGCCTCAAATGAAGCCTTAATGTCCTTAATTTTCCTTTCCCTGCAATCAAATAAATCAGGAGGAGATGAAAATACATATGTATATGTATAAAGAAATGGAAAATGGAAAATTGAAAATTATATACCTACTATTGTGGTTGTCTAATAAGGTGTTACCGCGTCTTTCCCGTAGTTCTTTTGCTTGTTGTTCAGAAAAAGACTGCAGAGAAAAATTATAAAACAAACCGAAAATATATATATATATATATATATTTAAATAATAAATAAAGCAACCAACGAACCTGTCTTGTGGTGTCGGTGCTAAGAGGAGATATATATTGTGTCTTGACAAGCCAAGACATGCCTTTATCTGTAGGACGTTCTTTTCTTTTTAAGCCGTCTTTTTTTGTTGGGGTCACAGACGCATCTTCCACCAACAGTCTCTCATCTTCAGGGGCAATATGCTGACTTTCATCCCTCCCACCACTAATATAAATATAATATACGCATCAGGCAGGAGACTTGATTTTTTTGTTTTTTTATGAAAAATCAAACTATATACAAACACAGAAAGAAGTAATACTTGTATACACTCAGATCAAGTAGGTCAAGTGGTATCCCAAGGTCTGCCTCAACATACAACTGAGCCTTATGCACCTTTTCTAATGAAGTCACACCGTATTTTGCAGCTCTGACAACAAAAATAAGTATTATTTCTAACATTCTTTCTAACACTATATATATATAACAAGTACTCTGTGTAACAATAATTAATTATTGTCAAGTGATGTGTGAAAGAGGAAGGAGTGAACAAGATTTTTGGAGGATATATTTGAAGATTCTTGTTCATGTGAACTTGGATTCATAATAAGAATCAAGGAAGATATTTCATGAACAAAGATAAGCTGTCTCTTAAAGCATTTCGTTTCCATTTTAATGCAAAGTTATGATTTCAGGTGGAATTGATAGAATTATAGTGATTAGAGTAATGTGTTTACTAGTGTGTGGTATGTAAAGTGTTGTATAGCATAATTTAGTTTGTTTTAGTAAGCATTTCTATGTGTTTTGGAATTCTAATTGCAGAGAAAAAAGGCTCAAAGATATTATGATATCTACATTTGGTGGTTTTGTTTTCAAAAGCTTGTATGACATCCTGTTTGGTAGTCTCAAACAATAAAGCACCTGCCAATTAGTCTTTACTCTTTAACTGGGGAAGCTTTGTACAAGAACATGGTTTACACATTTTATGGTTATGTAGGCAAATGCATATAGCATATAGCATATATAGGTTATTAGGTATTTAGGTTATAAGCTAAAATATAGCAGTGACACCTTAAGAGTAAATTGCATACCGGTCTTTATCTCTCCTTATAGACAGAAGCTTCGGTTGAGATGTTGAATCTGGTAACTCATCCCGGAATCTTCAAATAGCACAAAAGTGTAAAGAACATTCAGGATCATATAAATCTAGAAGGAAAAAGAATTATTAAATTGCATCAGGCAAAAGTACTGCCACAAATATACCGACTAAAAGAGATTCCATATCATGAAGTCAATGCAGTTAAAAAAGACCGGAATTAAAAACAAAGCAACAATAATTCGCAACAAAGTAAGGAAATTGAGTGGTATGTTGCTTGAAGTTAGAAACAAAATAAAGACTTGGTGTCATGACATACTCACTTCAACTTGCATAGAAAGGTTGTTGGCTTCTTCAACCGGTTTTCTACCCTTTCACCACTCAAAAATGGTGTAGCCCTCCTATCGCCCATATGGGAGCCACTAACTGAACCATGTGGCTTGATGCCTGAAGATAACAATTGGGTCTTTTGGGGGACTTTACTCTGAGATTCCTTCACCTGTTGCCTATGCTTTTCTTCTTGCCTTTGCTTCTCCATTTCTTTTTTCTTGCGCAGCCTCCTCTCTTCTTCAGTCTCAACCCTACCAGGAGGGCCATTTGATTTTTTTGCTGGCAAAGGAGGTAAAGTAGAAGGCTTAGAATGTTGTCTGGAAGGACCTGCGTGATGAGAATGTGATGAATCACGCCATTTAGAATTCTCGAGTTCAGTGGAAGGCCTTTTAAAACTATCGTGTCTGCTTTGCTTGGCTTGGTTATTTATAGGGACAGCTGAAGGGGGTGGGGGAGGTGATGGTGGTTGTGATGGTGGGGGAGGAGGCGGGGGAACTGAAGAACTGGGGGGAGAGGAAGGTGGAGGTGGTGGTGGTGGTGGTTGCAGCGGCGGTTGTAGAGGCTGGCTATGTAACTGGGAGTACTGAGAAGATGGAAAATACATTTGCCCTGGTGGTGCAGTCCCGGAAGGAGGTGGTGGTGGTGGATATGCAGACTCTGGTGGTGGTGGAGGTGGATATGATGCAAACTGTTGTTGATTGGGAACAGGGTTTCCAGATGGAGGCACATAACCACCCTGTTGAAAGTTCGAATTAGTATAGCCCCAATTCTGTGAATACTGATTTCCTCTTGGTTGAGGCGGAGGGGCAAGTGGCGGTGGTGGAAGAGAGGTGAGATTGGGCAGGGCAGGTGGTGGCGGTGGTGGACCAAAATTTGATTGAGGAGGTCGTGGAGGGAACGGCCTGTATGACGCCATGCCCTTCAGAATTTGAATCTATAGAACCAGAGCTCACTGTCTACTAAAACCCTTCGACACCGATAGATATATCGGAACCTTTTGCTCGAAAAAAGCTAAAACATGAAAGTTTATGGATCCGTTTTTTCCTGGCAGGCGAAGTAGTTTCAAATTTAACTCACGGATTTCAATTTCTTGGATATCTCTACTCAAAAGACACTCAATCAATCACCAACTCTTCGAAATCAACTTACGGTAACGCAAGAAACAGACGAAGCCAAATTCGAAACCCTAGAACAAAAAATTTCTGTAAAAACTCTTGTTTAGTCTTCACTGCTAGATCAAAGCCTTCACGAATACAAAACGAGATCAAGCTCCGTATATAAACAAGAAATTAATGAAAAAGCTCACAAATCAAATAACGTGGCTGCTGAAATCAATCTGCAGAGCGAATAATCTGTCTCAGCAGGCGAATCGTAAGTTCGATGTTGAGATACAGAGATAAACAGGCGTATCAGATTGATGAATGTGTGTCGATATATAAAGGGAAAGAGTATTTGGGCGTACTTAGATGGAGGAAGTGGCCGGAAAAAGGATCGGAGATGCAAGACCTGAAGCGGTCAAGCTATTCATATGGTATATTGCTATGACGCTACAAGGTGAAGAGGGGCGTGTTCAATTGAATCCAATGTGTGATTTTTTATTTTTTTTCTCTAATGTAACTTCCATTTAGGTTTTTTAGTTTTAATGAGGAACAATGTGATAGAAATAAAGAATAATAGATTTTTTAGTTTTTTGGAAACCGTTTGATGATTGAATATTCATTTATTCTTTTAATACATCTGTTTTGATTTTATTTAACGGTTGCTTAGCAGTTAAAGGTTTAATTCATCAAGTTAGTTAATTTTCAATTTTTCATACATCCGAGTTTGAACCTAGGACTTCCAATCTAAGAGGCTTCCACCTCTACCAAGTGGGTTAATCCTACGTTGGCTTACATTTTGATTAAAACGAACGAACACGAATAACGGTTTCATTCTCAGTCATTTATATTCATAGACATTCATTTATGTTTGTTCGTTTACGTTTATCTATGTATGTTCGATTATTATATTACATTATCTATAATTATAAAACTGGTGTGTAAAATGAAACTTGTATAATTTAAGCTTTACAAATTATACACTTCATAAATATATCTAAAGAAATATTGTATATATTATTGATGACACGTGGTGGATAACCGTCACCATTATGTCATTCCTTATATTGAAATCATAATCAATCATCGCCGCTTAAACTTCATATTTATAGTTATTTGGGAGAGTTTCTTTGTGGTTCACAGGACCTCGCACACATCCGACAACCCTCATTCTTCTTCCTACGTTCGTTTCCATGGTTTTCACCACCCGTCCTCCCCTATGCTTCATGCAATTTATTATTTCCCACACACCAGCTTTCTAGGACGTCTCTACATATAAAGACGAAGCCATCGTTCTTACTATTTCAAAGCATAAAAGTTGATAATAATGGGAGTATGATGACATCCAATCGTATACCACTATGTACATGTTTCAGTTTTTGATGAACAAAATTCTACTTTGTACTCTTGCTTTCAAGAATTGAGGGAATCGCTGCTAGATTGAATTCAAACTTCAAAAAATGTACAATTGTAAGTTGCAACAACTAACTCCTTAAGTGAAATAAGTTATTATATTCCAATGTTATCTTTGTATCAATGATAATTATCTCTCTCTCTCTCTCTCTCTCTATATATATATATATATATATATATATATATATATATATATATATATATATATATATCATCCACCGCCATAAAATCATCATGTCACATCCTTGATTGGTAAAGATTGTTGATTTTAGGCTTACCTGGAAAGGTAAGGATATTTAGATTTTTAGATATTGATTTCTCCATATTCTTTCATGATATTCAGATAACATGTTTTTTTTTCTTTACACTTGCTCATTTGGTTTGTAGCAACCACAAAATTCATGAAAATTTTAAACCTTTAAAATCATCCCACAAACCATCATTGTTTACAATTTAGTATTCAAAACATGTTTAATATCAAAGTTTTCCCAAAATCATAAATCAAAACATGAGGAGTTGTATATCGTTTGCAAGTTCGGTCTAGTCAATTTAGAGACAATAAACATTAAAAATGATTTTTTGATAGAAGATTATTTGGAATAAATATTCTTAACTAAAGTATAGTATATGTCACAATGATTTCATACATATAAAGAACGCTGACATCCGACTTATAACGAAGAAATTATAACCTGTCGAAGTTTTACGACAAAACCGACACGATGTCGCGTATCATAAAAAGTGAATTTTTGATAAGCTACTTTTTAGCCTTATCAATCTAAACGAAAGTCGTAATACATGTTAAACCAAAAACGTACATAAAAAGAACATCAAAATCTACATTCGTTTGAATAAGTTATGATTTTTTTAAGATTTTGGATAACAATATACAGCTTGGAAATCGAATTTTAGTTCGATCGATTTTTAGCCAACACAACCTAAATGAGAATTGAAGAGTTCATCAATAGGAGCTCAACGATATAAAGATAGTCGAAAACGGACGCCGGATGACAAAATTATGAATTTTTACCGGACTTTGACTGTATAAGCTTATTAAATATAACTTTAAAAATAAAGTCAAAATTAGCTGAAGGAGTCTAAACAAAAGTTTTAGATCCCGTCGATAACTACGTGTTGATATAAAGAACGCCAAAAACGAAGCTCACATGCAAAAAGTTACGGATTTTAGAAGATAATTATCTTTTGGAGTAATCTTCGAGTGACACGTGGTGCAATCTAAGCCACAGCTTCCTCCCCACGCCTTTCCATCAGATGGTGACACCCCGAACCCCAACACATCGTGTTGTTCTCGGTAACACGCCATGTTGCTTGATTTCCAGCCTATAAATAGAGGCGCAAATCACCTCATTTTCACACACTTTTCTCTCAACTTCTCTCCAAAACCTCCCCAAAGCCTCAAGGCTTTTCTCTAGTCCATCTTAGGAGTTAGTAGTAAGTCTCGGAGCGCCAGGAGGCTCCGAGAATAAGAGCTTTCGGCTCAAAAGTTATGTCCGCTCAGATCCCAGTTCCTCGCTAAACCCTTTTGTAAGTGAGTTATACTTACCATACTTTAAGTATAACTTATGTTTAAGTTCATTATCATTATTATGAACCTATAAACAAGATTTACCAATGATTCCAAGTCGTTATACCGATTGATCTACTTACAGGGATGATGTTTAGGTTGTGGTTTAGTGAGGTGTTTAAGGTGGAAACAATATAGTTCCTATACCAAACGGACCCTACCTCCTATATGATCCTACATGGTTGTTCCTTACTTGATAAATCATGAAAGTAGACTTTATGTTAATGATAAATCTAGACTAATAATTCGTCACAATAAACATTTGACTAAAATCTAGTAATAATGATACTAGGTTTTATCGATGCAAAAGAAAATTGTTAGAAGCGAAGCACTGCCTGAATTTCGAGTCGTCACTTTTAATAAGTGAGTGCATAGTCCCTTTTATGAACATAATTTTGATATAAGTATTAATTAAAGTATTAAATATACATTTATGTGTGAAATATTTGATATTTTCTGAAATACGTGTTAAGAGCATATCTGATAATATACGATGATTTAGGATATATAATAAACCTTAATTAATTAAGAAGAATATCGGGTGGTATATTCTTATGAGTACGGGTGAGATGTACATGGAGGGTAGAACTTTAAAATTTGTCATTAATTAGAGAGCATGGATTAGACATAGTCATCCATCCGTAGTCCGAGAAGATAGGGTGGGCATAGTCATTTGTCATTGATCCATAAATATGGATTAGGTAAAGCTGTTAAATTTAGATCCTAGAGTATGGATCGTGTCGTTGTGAGGATCGACGGGGTGGGGTAAAAATTACTTATATAAGGTGAAATTATATTTATTCTGAGTTCTAGTATATATATATATATATATATATATATATATATATATATATATATATATTGTAACATACACGTTCTGAAATTGTGTATTGTTATTATTAAAAGTGAATAAAATTGAGTGTTGAGTTCTAACAGCTAGTTTTTACTAGAAATGAAGTAAAACTATGTTTAGAATCACTCATAAAATATTGGAAGTCTTATGAGATTCTAATGAATAGCCAAATAGTGAAATTTAGCGAAAATATAAAATTTGAAATAAGTAAAAGTTTATTATTTGATGGTGTAAATTATCTCATTAGAAACTTGTAGACGAAAACCTCGTCGAAATCCGAGTTATAACGAAGAAGTTATGACCAACTGAAGATCCGCGACAAAACCGGCACGGCGCCGAATGACGTAAAAAGTGAGTTTTTGATAAACTACTTTTTATCCTTATAAATCTAAATTAAAGTCGTAGTATTTGTTAAACCGAGAAATTCGATAAAAAGAACGCCAAAATCTGACTTCGTATGAGGAAGTTATGATTTTTCGAAATTTCAACTTAGCAGTAGACATCTAAAAACTCGAATTTTAGATCGAGCGATATTTTACCGATACATCCTAAACGAGAATCGAAGGTCTCGTCATATGTAGTACAACGGTAAAAAGTCTGACGAAAACGGATGTCGGATGAAGAAGTTATGAATTTTTAACGGATTTTTCTGTCCCGGTCTGTTAAAAATAATAATATTAAAAATAAAGTCAAAACTAGCCGACGAAGTCTAAACGGAAGTTGTAGAGCGTAATTTTAGCTACGCATGCATATAAAGAACGTTAAAAACGGAGCTCGTATGCGAAAGTTATGGATTTTAGAAATTTGGGGCCCGAAAACTGATAATTTTCGCATGAACAGTGTTCGGACACGTCACTCTCACGAAGCAGCAGTGTCACCGAAGACGTGTCCGATCCGAGAAGCATCATGTGTCGCAAGCTGAGTGGACCGAGGTGCTAGCCAATTCGGATCCGACGCGCGCTTAGCATCGCCTTTGCCACCGAGCTGCTTGCTTCCGAGACCGACGTGTGTTCTTCCCTGATTCGCCGAAGCTGAGGTCCAGCAGGAGCGAGACACGCCTCGCCTACCAGCTTCGTATCCGACCCTCGCATCCGAGCCTCCCCTTCTCGCCACCTGCCCCTCGCTGCTGCTGCCACCGAACCCTTCGTTGCTTAAGCCAGCACCGAACCTCGGCCCTATATAAAGAGGACCTGCGAGATCTTCCGACTAACTTTGGAAATTTGCCACTTTTAGCCCCTCTTTCCATATTTTCTTCGTTTTGACTTTCCCCGAAGCCTTGAAATCAATTTTAGCACCCGAAACACATCTCGAGACCCCGAGAAGCCCGGAAATTTTATCTTTTCGGTTTTGAAGCCTTACCTTCGCAGAGCCCGGTTTTCAATTAAGCTCCTGGTTTTCAACATAGAAAGGCATATTTAAAGCCAAAGTGTTGTCCAAATTACTATTTTAACCCCCAGTTAACTTAAGGTGAGTTCAATATATAGGAACAATTGTATGTTATGTGTTATATGTGCTATGTGCTTTTTAGTATTATCATTATGAGTTATTTTCTCGTGTTATTCGCTATGTTTATAGCAATTGTAATACCTTTGACCATGTGATCAGTGAAAGGACTTAGATTCACATTGGTACTGGTATGTAGCCTCTGGCCATGTAGAGCATGTCTCCGTAAGTGAATAACTTCTATTCTATGGCATTGGCAAATGGTTAGACAGGACTATAAGCCTGAAATCTAACAAGAGGTTAATCAGAAATTGCATGTCATCTATGCCATTTGGGCCAAAGATTTATTGATGTATATCAAAAAATTGAAAAGAATATCTTTGAATAATGTCTTTGATTGATATGAACGTTTGTCACATGATCTCACATACGTCTTGTTGTTCCTCTTTGCTTTGCCACATTGAAGTATATATATGTCATAACATTATATTGTATCTATTTTTGAACTCACTAAACGTCACCGCTTACCCTATCAATGTTT